TAACGATAGCAGAAAATAGCTATCGAAACGTCAAGGTAATTTTTCAAATTAATTTTTCTACTAATTGGAATTTTCTCTTACAGCTTGAGCCTAAGTGTGTCGCAGGATACCCTCTAGGTGATAGTTCTTGATTACTTTTTGATAAATAATTCGTTCTTATTGCGAAATGGGAGCACTATTTATCAATCTGTAATAAAAGATGTGAGGAAATTCTGTCTTTTTTAAAGACAAACATTTTTGAGGCGAAATACTCAAAAAGAAGTTTGTAAAAAATGAATCCGCCTCAACAATATAGAACTTATCTTCAATTTAATATGTTGTACCACAGTACTAACATTCAAATAAACTCAAATTTTTTAACTTTCTTGCTAAAGATGTAACCAGATGTTTCGCAGAATTGTCCAAATTATTTCCAGATAATATTTCGTAGAGTATCATATATTTCTCCCAAGTGAAACCTTAGAGACTAATTGCATCAATTCGAATAGACCTCCTAGTCTCTGATGAAGGTTTTAGTGTTAAACTTAAAATGTTCTTTTTTAATGCAGATCTCCGATTTTCTGAAGTGGCGAAGAAGTTATATAATTCAGAATCAAGTGGAAAAAATGTATACCAGATATATTAGATCTTGCAGCGTCATTTATGACAAGATTCAAATGCTCGTGGGTTAATATTTAATATTGTTCTTTGAGCACCATTGTCCTCACCCTTAATATTTGAGCCTCTATAGTATCCTTGCCCGCGAAGGTTATGCATGTCTAAGCCGTAATTTTCTAAAGTTAGTTCAACCTTCACCAGTTGCAGCATTTACAGGACAAAATGTTAAAAATCGATCTTCCACACTTGCTTCAGTATTTTTCAATTTTACATATCTGAAACAAACTGAAATTTGTTCTTGATGGCTCACATCGGGAGGATATTCAAGTAATATAGCAAAGTACACTTTAGAAAATTACTGTTGTTCTTTTGAAATAAGTTGTTATTAGAACCACGAAACGACAAGTTTTGTTCTGCCAGAAACTGAATAGTACCTATGAATAATTCCTGGAATAACCTCGCGCCAGTACGCGATTTCTCTATTTAGTGCATTCTGCATTTTCGAATCTACAGATTGGTTCGTTTTTAGTCGTTTCAAAAGATATTACCAAAGACGTATGTATAAAACGGCCTTTTGTCAGTAAAATGAAAAAGTGAAGTTAAAATTAAAAATAATTTATTTATTAGACTATATTACTTTTATATTGTTTTGTTTGAAACCGACATAGATTTCTAATATAAATAATGGCAATTTTCTAGTTGTGTCACGATTACGGTGGATTATTTTCGCTTCTCTTACCTTGTAGATAATTCTTTTACTAACACTGTTTCCTAGTGGTGTTTGCTGCGTTCGTGTGGTGAAATCGTTTTACTATCATTTTTTGCTCATTTAAAGTTGACCAATTTCGAGGCCATTTAAGCCATTTAGTCAACTTTTTGTTCGATTTTAGTAGTTTCATTTCTCTAACTAATAATTTTGGGTTACTTTGGCCTAGAATTTTCTTTCCTTTTCAGTAAAATATTACAATTTTTCAAGACTGTGGTATTATTACAGTACCCAAGCTAGAAAGACAATTTTCCCATGTGGCGACGGTCAGTTGAAGTTAAATAACATGGTGGAAAACAGTATTTTATTGAAAAGAAAGAAAATGGGAACCCAAACTAACCCAGAATAACTAGTTACACAGATATAAAAAAGAGTGTACCACCAAACTTTCCTCATCATCTGCTAAGGCAGTTTTTCTTTATTGCGATGTTATTGAAAATTGACGATCGTATAAAGTGGGTGGTTTGTTAAACAAATATGAACCGGCTAATTTGAACAAGATAAACATATTAAATTTATATTGTATAAAAGAATAATCAGAATTAACAAATAATAATGTTAGCTGACGTTTGATCGTAACAAGAACACGAAATCGATAACAAAAACATGACAATAATATTTGCAAAATTAGTTGATAAAAGAATGTGACTGAAGAAAATAATTGAGGTAATTAATTATACTTCTTTACTGAGTTTTGAGTTTGAATCGAACAATGAACTAAAATTTGCCCAGCAAAAGCCTTTTCTGCAGCGAAGAAGTCGAGATTAACCATTAGCCTATTGAGTGAACACCAGATATGTTGGCATTGAAAGAAAATGGAAAAATGAGAAATCAAAAAGCGTTGATAATTTAGCGCTTCACAATCACGGCTTCTTTAAAATTTGCATAGTGAAAAGGAGTTCAGAACTTTATTCCTATTATTGATAATTGAGGCTATGAGATGCAAAGTAGCCTAAGCCCAAAATTCGACAATACAAACTGGATTAATTACATTTAGCAATTAGCATAGCAATTACAATAGGCTTATTTTTTTCTAAACGAATACATTTGATTTTTATGCAGTCAACTTTAGATTTATCGAACGCAATTTTTCTATTAGTAATTGTACTTTGTAATTGTTTGGTAGAAAAAAAGTTTGCTGATTTCATATGTACGATATTGATGCGCACGTTATGCGCTCGCTGCTTCATACTGTACTTACGACTGATTGTACGGTAGAAACAATTATATAATTTATTTTAGAAAATATATGACTATTGAAATTAAGGTAATATTAAAGGGAACAGCACTGAAATAGTCCAACATATGGACTCCCATACAAAAATTAATTTAATCGTTTTTTATTTTTGAATAATATTTTTTACTGAGTTTTCTGAAATTATCGCATTTTTTTTTAAATTTTGTTTAAAGGGTTTTCCGTCTGGCTTGTGCTTCACAATCTTTTGAGAAGTTGGTTTGTTGGGAATTCCAATTTGAATTTTTTTCTTGTGATCGAAAAACTAAAATAATTCATCTTAAAAACGATTTTAAAGATAGTGTGATATAAGTGATGATATATATAAGTGATGTGCGGTGTTTGTTCTTAACGATTGAAAAGTCGGTTCGTCCTCATAAATAATATTTTTCCTATAATTTTAAAATTAGAAAATTCAGTTACAGGCACGCTTATTAATACTTGAGCAGGCATGTATACATCGGGATTAAGCTTTTCCTCGTTTTTTGTTCCACTTTATAGGAATTTTAAATAATTCCAATTTTGTTAAGGACTATAAATGAATTATGTGAAGAAAATTCGTGCTGATTAATCGGTTAATGAAGAGCCAGATTATTTGGTTTCCATATCGTATTGGTCAGGGTCAGATTCAGAATTGGAAGAATTGCACTTCTTTAAGAACATCAATCTAGTCAATAACGACTTTAAATGTGCTTTTGCTCTTTCTACTTGATTGTATGATTGTCGTCTAAAACTACCTTGCACCGAGTGTCCAAAAATATCCCAGGAAGGATCACTTCATCATTTAACAGCATAACTTCTCTTTCCTCAATTTTCCTGAAGATAACTTTGCAACAAAGGAAGAACCAGTCTTCTGTAATGACAACTTGCATTCTTGCCAGTAGCAATAAAAACTGTTATAACCATCTAGATACCTACTAGTAACGAAAAATGTGTTATTCACGAATAGCGTCAGAAACAGAGTTAAAAACGCACACATACATAAAATAAGAAAAAATATAAGAAGTTGAGTTTTAAACAAATTTATAGTATTTACTTATCTAATTATATGTATATTTCGACATTCCCCTAACTATCTTTGAATCTAAAATACACCAATTGTTGCATCTGGAAGTACTTAAGTAACAAATAATTTTATTGCAAGAAACTCATTTTACGAAATTTGTGGTTTTGGCCCTTTTGCATCTAATACGTCAATTGTTATGCTAAATTTTACTCTTTTCTTTCAGGACTTTTCCATAAAGCCATTGCCATGAGCGGTTCACCTACCTCACAATGGACAATTGCTCATGAACAATTAGACCTAGCGAAAAGACAAGCAAAGTTCGTGGGTTGTCCTGATGATACAGCAGCAAACGTTTACAAATGCTTGAAAACAGCCCGTGTTAATGATTTAGGCCAATCGCTTCCACAATTTGCGGTAAGTCGTTAATTCCATGTTTTTCATTAAATTATTACTTTTTTTATATTGTGACGGTGATAACTTTGGGGAGACTTTTCTAGGTTTGTTGGTTTCCCAGTAAAATATTGGCCCTATTTATATTATTTGGCCTGTTCATAGTTTTTCACCATTTTATTTCATCAAAACCTTGGTCTCAGCGCTAGGTTTCTTAATGAGATTTGCTGTCTTCTGTGTGTGCCTGTTTTTTTTTTAATTTTTAGTGTATGCAATAAAGTTTGTGACCTTATTTATGACAACGTTCCTCCTTAACACTTTTTCTTTCTCAGAGTTCTTAAGCCCTAGTAAAATGGTCCTGTTTTAATTATATGCGTTATTTGCAAGAATTGTTGTAAAGTGATATTTTACTTGTCAAAAAACCAACAGAATATTAGTTAAATTAATATGCACCAGCATTTTTAAATAACGAGCAGATAATTAGGACATAGTCGCTCTATTAACATATTGATTTTGGTTCCTTTGCTATTATTAAGCCAGAGCCCACTTCAGACCCTACATTCATTCTAAACGGCCTACAAAATATACTAATTTGGTAACGAACCGTTTGTAGATCTTTTTTAGAACCGTTTGCATACTCGGTGTTTCTGCAATTATGCACAGATTTTATTTTTGACTATTTTTAGAGTGTGTTGCACTAAACCCGATAAGAAAAATTCACAATGATGAGGAATATATTTCAATAATTTATTGTATTGGTATTTTTGGCTGTTCTTTTTTGTTTTCAAACAAAAACATCTAAAATTTCAGGCAATTGCGGATGTTTTTTGGGTCACACTGTACGAAATTCCAATAATTAGCTGAAAGTAGACCTCATTATTTTTATTTGCAGCTGATTACCACCTAAATTGCCAATAGCTTTTGTAGTTACTTAAAATAATTTGCATTGCGAGTACTAAGTACCTTCCCTTGCTAGTGTAATGGTATATTTTTTTAATTATTTTTTTATTTTATTTACATTTTACAGGAATTCGGATTAGATCCGCTTTTCATTTGGACCCCTGTAATGGAGAAAGACTTTGGACAACCACGTTTTCTCACTGCTCATCCAATCACTCTAATACAGAACGGAGAGTTTCACAAAGTGCCTTTTATTACTGGCGTCACGGCTGATGAATTTGCCTTTAAAGCTTTCGGTAAGTTTATTTGAGAACATTGATGCAATCTATTACTTAAAAATGTGGCTTAAAAATTTTACGTAGGTGTTGATTAAATTGAATACATATTGTAAGATGTCTTTTATCTGCTATTTACGCATATTTAAAGAGACTGAATCCAATTTGAAAATCCCTCAAATCTGATATACCGTGAATATTTTTTTTATATTTTATGTATTGGGATTGTACATAGTGGTCTTCATCTAAAGTGATAAAATTAAGTGGCATTTTATTTACGAAAAAAAATTGTGCGTTTCAGACAAATTTGTTGTGTTCGAAAGTTAATAGTTTTCCAAGGACCGGGTATCAACGTGTAAATAAAATTTTTGTTTTTTTAGTTGATTTGTAACCAGTTTTACTATAGAAAAAAAATTGTTGAAGTGTTCGCGCTATTTTTCGATCAAGGAATTCAAGTTTTCTGTTACTGGTCTAGTACCTAGAAAGGAATAGCTGCAGTCGTCTGGAGTCATTTAAAACATCAGATATTTTTTGGGATTTATAATATTGCTGTTTTTCTTGCGGTACCTCATTCTCCGATATTTCATAATGAAAAATTTGCACTTGGTTCAAGTCGACATCTTTCACCGTTCAAGTATCATTAGAAATTTCAATGTGGTATATCCCGAATACGAGAAATCGACTTGAGAGAAGTACACATTTTTTTGTAGCCTTAATATGGGAGAACGAGATATTTGATATTTTCATCAAAACGCGAACTAAAAAAAAAACCACGCAAATCTGAAACTTCTTGAATTCAAGC